CACCTGATGGCCTGAGACAAGAAGCAAGCCATGCAAGAGTATCTGAAGGAGCTGATGGAGAACTCTAACTTGAGTCGGAAAGAATACCGCACGGTGATGTCCTCGGAGGCAAACAAGATCGGGCTGGAAAAACTGCTAGAAGTCTCTTGGAGGGCGGCCCTCCAAAGATACTTCGACGAGACGATGCATGCACCTGCGACGGTGGCAGCATACCTGGGGCTATCCGTGTGCAAGAACTGACTGGCAGGTACGACTAGCCTGGTGTTTGATGGGAATCAAGAAAGCGGAATATGAAGCCAGCAACGACTCGAAATCAAAGGAACAGGAACTGGAATTGATGGAAGCCCTGCAAGTGCTGATTTCTAGAGATTATTCGGCGATAGCCTGGGCTAAGCGTTAAGATACCTTTTGCTTTGTGAGATTCGTGGTGGATCATATCCCCACTCCTGTGTTGGAAGAATGCATAAAGACCATTCGGCAAGGGGGAGTTGATCGTGAACAAAACTTTCTGAGAGCACTCCAGAAGCTTTATCAGCACATGCCGCTGGCCATACCAAATAAGGAGTCGAACGACATGGAAAGCTATCGCAGGTTGGAAGAAATGAGAAGATATTCAAACAAAGAGTTGAAAGTGAGCCGGGAGTTATTTGAAGCAGTCAGGGGATAGAAGGACTATGCAAACTGGTGAAGTTGAAGTCATTCCAATATGTGTCTGGCATACCAGGGATGGCGTTTAATCCCTTCGTGAATGAGGAAGCCAGGGAAGCATACTTTGACTATGAGCAAGTTGTGGTACTTGATTTCTGGGTTGAACGAGTCAAGGAAACTGGCATGTTGATGATGGAACAACCCAACCTGGGAATCATTTTCGAGGAGCGAGTGGTCGAACCCTCGGTTCCCGAGCTAAAAAGGCAGGTGAGCTTTGATTGTGGTTCTTGGGACGGTCCCTTGAAGACCAGCTTAGTAACCCTGTGGGAGCTCATGAACCTTCTTGGTGTCAACATCCAAACGCAGGTTTAATCTGAGACATGACAACCGATGTCACATTGAACTTGGATGATGACGCGATTTGGCCATGATACACCATCTGCTGGCTCTGAACATAACGAAACAGAAGAGCAACCCATCCACGGAACCTTGCGAGGGAAATCTCTCCGGTGATTGGTTGAGACAGGCCACCTGTCTAGCCCACAGTAGTGGAATGGACGGACACGTGTGCGACTCAGGGCATTGCTTGAAGACGCTGAATGAGCAGCATCGCCAATTGGCTCAATTGTATGGGAGATTGAGCATGTAGGACAAGAGTGGAATGGAGTTGATTGCGGACTGTCATGGAGTAACGGAAGTGAACTTGATCACTGCCTTGGGATTTTGCACCATGACGAGCTCTATAGAATCACTGGAACCCCTGGAGCGTGCCCATTGGCTAGTGACATCGCTTAGAGTGGAAGTGTTCTCTGGAGCGCTGCAGATTGAACAAAAAATTGGAGGTTGGCGAGAGGCTCTGGAGAACGAGATGAATTTGAATGACAGTGAGGCCTATCATAGACCTACTGGTTCGAAATATCTGGTGGTTTCGTGCTTTGCGCCATATTGCAACAGTAGGTACCCTACGCACATGGTGGTGATGGACGCTAGGACGCAGCAGGTGTTGGTCGACCAACTCTTCTCTGTGCCAAAGTGTGTGAGGTTGGCCAGGATGTCGGAATGGTCATCTGATTTGCTGACGAAGATCATTCGTGCCGTCCCGAAGAGATCTGAAGGCGAGTTGCAGGAGTAGTGGGTGAAGAATTCATAAGGTTGAGTGAGGGTAATGTGAGTGAATTCCAGAAGAAAAAGGCGAGCGGAGCGTTACTCACTGAATTCCCCACCATGGATGAGAAGGAAGATCTACACAGGATTATGATGGAAGTGGAACCGTTGCTGGAAGCTTCAGGGTATCGGACCCGAAAGAACATATTGATGACCCATGGGGAGTTTCCTTGTCACTGCCTGGCGCAGACGTTATGGCACCTCAAGCGCGGGAATCTGGTGTTAGTGTGGGACGTGGAGGAGTTGTACTCCACAGGGTTGCCCGACCAAAATCAACAAGTGTCAATCGTGGTGGTTAGTGCCATGCTGGCGGTGAGATGGTTAGAAGCTAACGCGGGCACGAGTGGGCAGGAGACGGCCGTGCCGACATCTGAGCAACTAAGCAACGTGAAAATGAACCACGACTTAGATCTTTTCAGAACCACCTGTAAGGTTCTGTGGATACCCAACGCCATTAAAGGATATGGTCATAGATGTACGAACGCGCGATGTCTAGGAACACGGAAGCCTGTCAATCCTTCCAGCTAGATATAGGACCGGGAGCCTATAAGAGAGCTTTCCTAACGCACAGAATTGCTGTTACAACGGCGGTGAAGCGAGTAGCTGGAACGCCTTGTGTAACTGAAACTGAAAAGAGAGAGGTCTTATGAGCTGACCTAGAACGGAATGTCAGCCTGTGTCTGCATAACAGCTTATGCAGAAACCGGGAGCAAAACGTGAATGTGGACTTGCTACCTTGTTGCAAACCGAGGCTGTTAGAGCAGGAGAGTTGGGGGACGGCCCGCAACTCCTTGGACATGCTGGAGAAGGTTCTAGAAGACAGTGAGAACGAAGAGCAAGAACAAGAAGCAATGGGGTGACGAAGACGAGACGAGAGAGAAAAGTGAAAAGTGAAGAGAGAAGGAGAAAAACTTGATTGTCCTTTGTGTGCTAAAACTCATACCAACCAACCAAGTTTGATTATTGAAAATTTTAAACTTTTTGCTTTGATTTAGTTTGGTCAGACCAGGCTTTGAAAACTGGTAAATTGTTGCAATTGTTGAATGGCAATGAAAATTTTAGTTGTGCTATTATATATATATGGAGAACATAGGTGAGTATATTTATCTATTTAAACACGACTGAAGTTTTTAACTTGTGTAAGACACGTGTTCACTGTGTGGCAATCTGGTAGGTTTGGGTACGCTCGCTCGAAGAGAGTGAGTACCTCATTACCTTTCTTAGCCACAGAGTTTCTTAGTGTTAATATTGAGGACGACAGCATAAATAACTGATTATACTTGGTGAGTGAAATTAGGTCATTGTTAACGGGTGCGTGGCCGTGCCACGCCCCAAATTTTTAATCAAGCAAGAGCGAGAAGAAATTTTATGGCAACATGACGTAAGTAGTCAGAAAAGAAATCTTATCTACGACACTCCTCATGGTGCAAATTTCGTGAAAATGTTGAAAGGCAGTGAGATGTGGTATGATGCCATTGATGACACGTAGTGAGTTGAGGTGGAGTAGATAAATTTCATTTTCTGATGCGATTTGAAAGGTTGAATAGAGAACTGGAACACTATTTGACGATAACCCGGTGTTATAGAATCAATGGGGACATTGATGAGGACTGTCCGGAGAGTATGTGCCAATCTGCCAGATTGGCACAGCGCAACGTTCCGGCACGACACGAAAGTAGAAATGGAGGCCTTAGCCATAAAAAAAACTCAGAAATGTAAAAAACGGCCATTTTGAGCACAAAATTGACGAAAAACAGAACAACAGCTGAAATAGTGAAAAAGAGTCGTACGGGAACGATAGAAGAAACAAAACCTCTTATCGAGACGATCACGCACGATAAGACAGCTAATCAGAGAAAACAGGTGGAAAGGAGGCTTCAGTGGGGAAGGAGTAAAGAGCAGTACCCTCCCGTGCCACGAATTGGGAGTAATAACGACGTTGTTACAGCAAAATCACGGAAGCAGAGGCTCGGCCCCCCAGAGACAGTATATGGTGAAGGACTATAAAGAACTGACTTTTTAGCTACTCTGATGCCATAAACAGTTTGAATTAACACCGGTATTGATTGATATTTTAGAATATGAGTAGGTAGAAAGAGGAAAGGGTCAATCCATCTCCATTGGATTTAAGATAGAACTGTCATAAAAAACATAGTAAAATAAGGATATTCGAGCCGTGTTTTTAATAGCAATCACGTACTCTGAGGATCCGAGACCCAGCTATGTGGTTGTGTTCGCATGGAAACGAAAGCTGATTAAAATTCGTTTGACTGATGGCCTAAAAATAGTAACTTTTTACTTAGCCCTAGACAGAACAGAAAATCAACTGGCTAAGTCAAGACGGTGAAAAACGAGTAGAATTTAGGTAACTGACGCCGGCCAGTCGTTCATAGGTACTTTTTCTACGCTCCGTCACTTTGTAGTATTTGCGCGAATGTTACAACTGTCCCTATATGCATTTATATTTTGGTTCATTTTAAATGTTTTTACACTTAATACATTTGCACTGCAACAGTCACCTCTGCTTACTCTGAGTGTTTTTCGTAGTTTGTATTCCTCTTCTTGTTGTAGTTTTGTCAAGTCCGGTCTCAAATACGCATTTTCATAGATCTCAATTTGTCGCCAATTTTTCGCGTTTTGCACGACCAGTTGTTTGACTTCAGCTGAAACCAGTTCGATCTTCAATAATTGAGCTCCGTTCTCGTTTTTCTTTGCAATTCTCTTTGTTCGTATATTTTCTACTGTCCGAATTTTCAAGTCCCCTAGTAGTTTCTTCGCTACTCGAACATCGTCTTCGTGGGTATCTGGTGTGGTTCCCAAAAACTACCACGTTTTTTGCTCGATACTGTTGTGTGTTTTCAAACTGTACTTTTTTGACTATATCTGCATACGACTTTGTTTCAACTGCTGTTATTGGATTGTTTTTATTTTCGAGTTGATCCATCAACTGATTTGTAATTCTAGCAGTGCAAAATCCACCACAACGGTTCTTTCAGTAGCTTTTGCTTACGTCCTAGCTTCTTTGGAATAAGAATAGTTGTCCATACGGGGCAGTCTTGAGACGTGCACAGTTCCTCCAGGTCGACAAAATCTTCTTGGGAATCTTCAAGTTCTTCATCGCACGGCAGGTTGACTTGTTGTTTCCGTGTTGATATTGGCATTGTTAGATACTCATCTCACATCTCAAACTATTTAATAAGTTTATCACAATTATTAGTTGTGATACGGATTCTAAAGAAAAACTGGGCTGATTGATTTACGTTTTCAGACTAAATTAGACAAAAATCGATGAGAGGCTGACCTCCCACTATAAGTTTATTTAAGCACTAAGTTTTCAATTTTATTCATCATTGCAGTTTTTCATCTAAAGCAGTCGCCCTCTGCTCAAAAAAATTACCCGAATATGAAAATAAAATTAAGTTATTTTTTAGTTAGAAATGTTTCTTGATTTTTTGAATTTAGTTTCAAAATCATTGTAGTCGAAACATTATGTGCTACTGGCAAACATTTGCCCTTTTGTTTCAAATACCTCGATGTTTCCTTTACTTAGCTACAAAAAATGATACAGTTTGCTGATAAATATGCATTTTTATAACGCTGGTTTGGCCCTATCCAGCTTTTGCACTTACAGTAACTAAACGGAAGGGCCCCTTTTGTAATTTAGTTTTTTTAAATGGTATAGCTTAAATTACTAGTTTTGGAGGCATTTATTTTGAGTTGCTTAAATGGAAATGTCTTCCGTTTCCTTAGCTGAAAAATTTGCTCTTTGACTTCCTGCAGGCAATTGTACTTGTAATCAGGAACAACGCTTTGTCATTAAACAAATCTCTTACATAGCTACACGAAATGGACCTTTTATCAGGAAACCTCAATAAATTCCAGACCCCTTCCCGCATGTTCTAGTGGTAAAGAGCGTGCATTGGGATCCTAACTCCGCGTTTCAGTCTGGGTTTTTCCACTTGATCAAGTTTTTAGCAGCGTAACTTTAGTTACTTAGTTTTTTGGTTTGGTAGACGAACATTTTTGGTTAAAGTCTTTTAATAAAATGAAAAAATGCCTTTTTTCTGGCTGCATAAATTCTGGTTACTGTCGTATTAGTTTGCTTGGGGTTAGTCTCCAGGATCTTAACGCCTTGAATCTGATTCTTTTTAGAAGTTTAATTGTATATTGATTCGAGGTAGTGGCATATCAAATTTTGCGAATTATCGCCTTAATATATATTTTTTGACCGGACAGTTCTTTGTTTACAAAGGCATTCGGACAGTTATGTTCTTCTGCTTGCCCTTGCGATAAGCAAGGGTATTGCAACCGAGTGCTAGACTTTATTCCTGTAATTAACTTGTTCGAGAATGGCCAAAATTAGAAATGATGAATGTTTTCATGTACTACTTATAACTCTTTCGTGGTTGCTTGTTTAAAAATTACGTGCTTGCTGTGTATCTTGCAATGTCAATTTTTTTCTTGGCGCTGCCACAAATTTTCAATTAATGTAACATTCGCCCGGTAGTACATATCGACGGAAAATAAAGCTAGGTTCTAAAACGACTGGCTAGCGTCTAAACACAGCTCTACATGCTTTTCACCGTCTCTGCCAAGGCCAGTTCTTTTTGGTGGTCTTTCTAACATCGGGTCGACAAAAACGTTACTGTTTCCGGCTTCGATCAGAACGCTCTTATTAACTTTATTACATGGAGAAATAGTGAGCTCATGGCTGGGTCTCAGTATCCCCAGACCACGAGGTCACTCCTAAAAACAGGGCTACTACTTATTTATTATATTACTGTTTTTGTTCAGTAGATAAAAATCATCATCTCCATCGAAGATGGATCAACCCTTTCCCTTAACTCCTAGCTTCTCATAATCTGAAAGCGAATTCAGATGTTATCAATTCAATTCAGGACATGACTAGAAGCTTAAAGTTCATAAAACAGAGTTACAGTTTACTCCCGAAACCCCTCCGGATTCTGGAATCCGATCAAATAACGCTCTTGTTTCTTCTCGGAAGGCTGGACACGTCGTCCCAATACCCTTCCTGGTTCTCGTGATTCGTGTTGTAACGATTGTAGCGGCACAATCGTTACAACTCGGAATGGTCTGATAGTCGTTTTCTATTCCAATCTCGGTCTGTCTCGCACAATTGTTGTTCACCGTTTTTCTCCACGAATTATGTTGTTCTGTTTCTTTTTGCAGATTTCAGTTGTCGCGAAATTCTGACGTCGTCACGTGTCTTTCTTTTCGAACGCAGTTTTAAAATTTAACATGTCCGTCCAAATTAACCATTCCGCGTTCGTCAAAATGAACGATCAACACCGCTAATGTGCTAAAACCGCCAATTTTCCCGCTCCGCTGTCACAATAAAAGTTCGAACTCGAACTTGCATTTTGATACATTCTGGTCGAATGTCACATAAACTTCAGCTTATTGGGTGTGAGTTTCATTTTCTTTCGGC